TTTGTCCGCGGCTTTGCGAGGCTTCCTCCAGCGTGATATCGTCGTTAAGAACTGATAATATCTCGCTGTGATGTTTGCCGAAGAATTTTGGTCCATAAAGTTGGCGGTCGCGTCTGGAATCGTCGAGTTTCGACGAACCAAACTAGGGAAAACGCATGTGCCTTAGAGCTGGGATGGGGTGCTATCGATCTCCAAGCTCGACGCCGGAAAAGTACTGTTGAGACCGAGCTTAATCAGACGCAGCTGTGCGTTTAAGGTAGCCGGCTTTGCGTCGTATGCCATCACGAGAGCCGTCTCAGTACTCGGCACTCTAGGCTTCGAGGATATCAATAGATTAGATGCACCTATGAACACATAGGTTCCAACGCGAGACGACGTATCGAAATCTCATGGAAAGACTCCGATGAAGTGATCTTACCGATGATCGATAAGTGCGACGCGATATGATTATGAACAGTAAGAGATATCAAACGCCCGCTGGATTGGCAAACGGTAAATCGAATTAGATAGCGAGAGTTCGATAGAGAATCGCGTACAGTACAATCCTCTCTGGGGTCTGGGTCAGCTACATGACTTTCGAAAAAAATACGTGTTCAAAAAAAAATAAGGGCAGTGGTCACCAATTTACTGTAGTGGTCAAAAAATACTAGGGGGTTTCAACCCCTTAATAAAAGGCAAAAAGTTGGAGGTGGGTCAACTCACAGATTAAATCACAGTCGAGTTCGAGTCGTAGGTTGCGCTATACCTGTGACACACGTCGAGCACAATGGAAAATAGTACGTTCGATAATAATTCCGAATATACTATCCGATTTTCAAGCAGACTGGACGGCACCGTACACACGCAGAAGGCAGCACAGCCAGAAAAATCAGACAACAGAAAGAAAGAAAATCGCACGGACGTATTCCGTTCGTTTTCTTCGCGGGGGCCCAGCACAGACGGAACGACGGGGCGCGAAGAAGTGTATATTAATCATTAATTAATTCAAACAAACTGTACAAAAGATGTCAGTGAATATCTTGATGCTGGCATATGAAAGTGCAGAGACTGCTCTTGTTCTTGCATCATTCCATTGCAGAAGCAAGAAGAAACAATCCAACGTCGAAGTGCTGGGGGTCGATTCACTTACCGGCACAAGAACTGGACGCTCGTTAGGCTGAAGCCTCTATCGTCCATCTGACCTGACCTGACCTGAAGAAGCAGCCTTCAAATTTTCAAACCGTGCGCATTGCTGCGTGTTACGAGTGTAATATAAACTAGCTCCAATCGCGCATAACTACCTTGCTGCGCCAACAACAGTATAAATAATATCTACTGGCAATAGATAAATAATGAACATACCACCCTTGTTTTAATTATCTTGGCGTTCATTTTCTGCAACAAAGATGTCGCGCGGTCGCGAGAGGGGCTACAAGGTTTACATTGGTGATTTACCTCGGGAGGCTTCGGAAAGAGAAATCGAGCGCATATTCCATGATTATGGAAGATTGCGCAACGTCTGGGTGGCCAGAAATCCTCCTGGATTTGCCTTCGTAGAATTCGAAGACTTGGCTGACGCTCAAGAAGCAGTACGCGAGCTCGATGGAACGTAGGTCAACTAATTTTTTAAACTTACCTTTAGCGTAATGTGTGGTGTTCGAGCGCGTGTGGAACTCAGCAGTGGAAAATCACGACAAAAGCCATGGATTCGTGGCGGTGGACGAGACGGGGGCGGTCGCGAATTTGGCACACGTAGAGGACGACCATTTGATCCTTCGGACCGTTGCTACGAATGTGGCGAACGCGGTCACTATGCATACGATTGTCGCCGCCGTAATGGTGGACCTGGCGTTGGACGTTTCGACGGACGTCGGCGAAGATCAAGGTAAATACACAGCATATTGTGAGATCTCGACACCTTCCACCACTAACTCGTCAATGTCGTGTTTCAGTCATTGGCTGGGCATCGACGGCAACGTAGACCGAGGGACGACCTGAGATTAATCATCTTACGATTTAACGCCGTTTTGTTGAGACCTGGTATTACTCGGGCTGCAGCGCTGTCCCGGCACTGCTCTCGATCGTTGTTGGCCGCTCCCCAACAGTGATATGTTTTGGTGTCACCGCGTGGTGTCGGACGATGTGCCCCAGCCCTTCCGTAGATTTATCGTCAGCTTCAGCATCTGTGGCTCGTCGATGATTCCATCGTTCCTACAGACATCCTTGCATCTTTAACTGATGACTGCCGTAGTGTGAACGTCAGAGATACGACCCACATTACGTGTAAGTGCCTTTTGTGCCCACATACCGTGACTAGATGTTAAGTTCTGCTTTATTTAACCGCTGTTCCTTGTTTTCAGGTCCCTATCAGGTCGCCGAAGTGGGTCACGCAGTCGAAGCCGATGAACTGTTGTTTCCCGCTACTTCACTCCACGCATGTAATCTGCAGTTTTCCTTGTGTTTGCGGCATTTACGTTCCAATTCCTGATAATGTTAACGGCCTCAATACAGTGTTACACGTAATTCTGATTTCGTTTTAGCTAAGTCGCCACTTATATCTGCTCTTATCTGTGGTGATACTGTCGCTATCGTAGTTCCGATCTCTAGGTGCTCAGTTCAGTTCAGATGGGGACTGGAACGATAGGAAAATCCCGTGAGTGTTCCATCTTGAGTGGATCGTTGAGCCAGGAATTGATGAAGTGCTCAGTTATTGATGGATCTAAAACGGAAACACCCGTATCGCACCCTGGCCAACCAGTTAATGCCCACGTTTCCTGCCCTAGCAGTCCCTGCTGTGGCAGTCACGTGAAGTAAGCAAAGGATAGGAAGAGAAATCGAAGGTACAGAATAGGGAAGTGCACTTAAATAAGAAAATAATACCAATACGTGAAGAAAAGTAGAGAAAAGAAAATCGAAGTACGAAGATGTGAGTTACTCAGGAAAATGGAAAGGTTTCGTGTTGCCACCCAAGAGCGTCAAGTTGCCGCTCAAACCCCTTAACCGTAGATTCCCTGATAACACTTTCCGGAAGCATGTTCCAGCGGTCGATAACTCGGCGTGACAGCCGGATTTCCGCCCTAATCCGATCGGACCGCGGTTTGTCCAGCTTCAACGAATGACCGCGTAGAACAGACAATCTAGCGGGACTGAATAGCCAAGACAAATCTGGACCAACCTTCCCAGTCAAGATACGGTAGGTTAGGATTAGGTCTCCTCTAAGCCTTCGGTAGTGCATTGAATGCATTCCCAAACTAAGTAGACGCTCGGGGTACGTCCGTCCCCGTAATCCCTCGACTAACCTAGTACCCACTCGTAAAACCCTCTCTAGCTCCATTTTGTCCCGGACGAGGCAGGGCGGACAAGCCTGGACGCAGTATTCCAGATGAGGGCGAACGAAAGCCGAGAACAGCCTCGTAAAGATGCCGCCCGTCAAGACTCCGAAAGAACGTCGGATTAACCACAACATGCGTAAACCTCTGCTTGCGGCCTTCTTCCAGTTGTCGCCGGAGTGTAACGCCGAAGAGTGTACGACGCCTAGGTCAACCTGGCTAGATACACGGGGGAGTTCGACCCCACCGACCAAGTACTTCGCAGGAGGACAACCTCCTCCAATTCGAAGAACGGAACACTTTGCCTGATTTATGGGCAGTAACCATAAAGTAGACCAGTCCCAAAGCTTATCCAATGCTCGCTGAATAGCTTCGGAACCCCCAGGAACATCAACAATGTTCCACAGCTTCAGGTCATCAGCAAATAGCAGCGATGGTACCTCAAGCTCCGTGGGTAGGTCGTTCACATAGATAGAGAACAACAGCGGTCCAAGGACCGAGCCCTGTGGCACGCCGCTGAGGACAGACTGCCTAAATGACAGACCCCGGCCTACCCGTACACATTGTTCTCTACCCTCCAAGAAGGCAGTCACCCAATGAAGGGCGCGGCCAGATACCCCGTAGGAGGACAGCTTTTGCGCGAGCCTCAAATGGGGTACCTTGTCAAATGCCTTCGAAAAGTCGACGAAAAGCACGTCCAGCGTGTGGCCGTTATCCACTGCATCCGCCCAATTTTCGCGAGCCACCAACAGATTCGTCAGACACGAAAATCCCTTCCGGAATCCGTGTTGTACATTGCTAAGTAGATTAAATCTACTCAGATGACTCTCTAATGAATCTCTCACCAGTTTCTCGAGGAGTTTGATTACTACACTCGTCAGACTAACTGGCCTGTAATTTGCAGGCAGACCCCTGTCCCCATGTTTGAAGATGGGACAGATGACAGCTTCCTTCCATTCGGAAGGCAATGCACAACTGTCAAGCGATTTCTGAAACACAATAGCGAGCGGTCCACTTAGTTCCGCAGCCAACTCATGCAACAGTTTCGGGTGAATTAAATCAGGCCCAGAGGCCTTAGAAGGGTTCAGCCCTTGTAACAGCCTACGAACTGCAGTCTCCGCTACAATAAATTCAGATAGTTCTGAACCCTCTGGAGTCCTGCAAACCAGCTCAACGCCTGTCAAAGAGGTTTCCCTTACAAACGCTGCCGCATATTGCCCACTGAGTACGCAGGCCTTGTCATAATCCGTATGCGCATGAGTACCGTCATCACGCATCAATACTGGAATTGACATTTTCGAACCGCAGCGTCTTTTGACATAAGCGAAGAATCTTTTTGGATTCTCTGAAGCTTCGTCCGCTAACCCTTTTTCAAAAGTGAGCCGAGCATCCCTTAGGTGTTGCTTACACCTATTTCTAGCTTTACGGTACCTGTCATAAGTATCGGTAGACGGAGCGTCTCGGTAAGTCCGCCAACATCTAGATCTCTTTGTGAGCAGATGCCTGCCAGTGGGATCTATCCAGGGCGGCTGTGCTCGGGCCTCCTTTCTCCTTGTGACTGGTATGAAGGGAGCAGAGACCTCTGTGAGGTAGGACTTAAATTTATCCCAGGCAACCTGGACAGTATCGTCGTCTGAGATCTCACAATGGAAACCAGAAGCCTTGGCTCTCATTGATTGATAGTCTGCTTGCCATATGTTCGGGCGAGACTCAACAGTACTCTGGTAGAGTCTAGACAGAGTACAATTGAAGAGCAAACAAACATGATCACTGGAACCCAGTGGAGGTCCGTAAGTAATGTCACCAACAAAGTCGAGTGACTTAGCGAATACAAGGTCTAAGATAGACGGTACTTGGGCGTCCATGTACCTAGTGGGGAGGTCAATGAACTGGTGCAAAGATACTTGGAGCGTAAGTTCAAGCAGATCAGCGCCGAATGTGCCTGACGCTGAGTCGCAAGAAAGATCTGCCCAACAAATCTCTGGGAGGTTGAAGTCGCCCATCACCAAACACTTATTTGCGGACTGGGAGCGAATGAAGTCAAGTACCTCTTTGGATACGCTCCCAGGGCTTCTATACACAATTACAACTGTAACCTGAGCCGAGGATGTGCTAATAACAGCCGACAGAGCTTCAACAGTTTTGTCTGCTGACTGAAATAGGCAAGTCTTCAAAACGTCAAGTTTACAGCTCACATAAAGAGCGACGCCCCCTCCCTGTCGGCCAGCAGAGCGATCGCATCTAAATAGTGCGTAGCCCGATAGATGTACTTCACCATCCGTGATGTCCTGAGACAGCCACGTTTCAGTGAATGCGAGTATATCGGGATGAGACCCATCTACAAGCAGACCTAACTCGTACACCTTATTCCTTAGGCTGCGCACATTACTTAGCACTATCTGAAGTTTTTCGTTAGATCCAGACCTGGGTCGTGCGCTACCAGTACTGGCACTGGTAGGGCGGAAAAGGACCGCCGGCTGACCACCCGAAAACCCACTAACCGGAGACCTTGTTCACCGGCCGCTCGCCTGCTTTTGAGGTCCTTGATGGCCTCCCTTAGCTTCAGCCTATCGGCTAGCGGAAGGTCCGGCTGAACGCTAATGTTTGTACCTTTCAGCTTAAACGCAAACCGCATGAGAGCATTGCGTTCCTCCGGGGTAGAGAGTACCACACGAAGTAGCCGCGGTCGCGGGTTTGGTACGTTAACTGGGACGTTCCCCAGTCTAATCAGCTTCCTGACAGTAACGCCTGGAAAACCAGGCGGAAGAAGCCTCGTTACGCACATTTATAGATAACCGGTTATGTTTCATAGTTCGTTGGATCGTATAGAGCAATCGACAATGATCTTGTCAGACCCATCGATTTCGAATCATCGGGTCTGCTACGTGTCGCTGCGATACGACGTCCCTCAAGTGCTTGTCGCGATTGCGGGTGATTGTATAAAGGCTGCTTGGTACCTCCCTCTGATGGCGCATCCACAATATTCTTCGGCAGACCGTTTCAGTTATCCACCACATGACTCAATATTTCCTTGGTTTAAACAGCGCTTGGCTGAAGGAAGTGTTGTAACTCATTTCCGCTTTCCGTCGACGGCAGAACTCAATGTTAAACAGGTTTTGCTGCTCGAAGTTAAATAGGATGCCAACATTATTATACATGTTAGCTGGTTCAAGTTCATGCGGGACCGGAACGATAGGATAATCCCGTGAGTGTTCCTTTTTCAGCGCGTCGTTGAGACAGAAGTTGGCAGACGTTAAAATATTAATGGACCTATAACAAAGAAGGCATCACACTGCAACCAATTAATGCCCACATTCTGCCCTAGCAGTCTCTTCTGGGCCGGTTACGTGAAGTAAGATTCGGATTCAAATGGACTTGAACGATAGGCGGATCCCTTGAGTGTTCCTTCTTGAGCAAATGGTTGAGCCAGGTAATGATCAGGTGCTACTTCTTGATAGATCTAAAACGAAACACCCTGATCAACCAATCACTGCCCACCTTCCCTGTAAGAGAAAAAGTAAACCCCGAAGTTGGAAAGAGAAAGTGGAAAGCAAGTAGAGTACCAAGATATTTGAGTCATTAAAAAAAGAACTGAAAAGTGAAGGTGAGTCAGTTAGGAAAAAGGAAAAGTTTGGTGTTGCCGCCAAAGAGCATCGAGCTAGCGCCCAAAAAACCCTTAACAGTACGTTCCCTAACCATGTGATTTGGAAGCGAATTCCAGCGATCTATAGCTCGGCGCGACACGAGTTTCCGTCCTAATCCTATCAGGCCGTGGTTTCTGAGGTTTCAGTGGATAATCGCGGAGATAAGGTAACGTTGCGGGACTAAGTAGCTTTGACAAGTCCGGACCGATCTTACCTGTCAAAATACGATAAGTGAGAATCAGGCCCCCTCTTATCCTTCGGTAGTGCATTGCGTACATCCCCAAACTGAGCAAGCGTTCAACATACGACTGTCACCGTAGACCCTGCACTAACCGAGTGCCCAATCGTAACACGCTCTCCAAGTCCATTGTGTCTCGGTTAAGACATGATGGACAAGTCTGAATACAATATTCCAGGTGGGATCAGACGAATGCCGAGAATAGCTTCACAAACAAATTAGCCGTTAGGATTCCGAGACAGCGGCGGATAAACCACATCATACGAAACCCTCGACAAGCAGCCTTCTGCCAATTGTCTCCAGAATGAAG